TTGTTCAGTCCACTGACTGTTTTCCAGTGGCCAATGCAGTTTCACAGACACATGTTAGCGACAACATGCGTTGTTCACTTAAAGCTTCGCGCATTTCAGGACGAATTTGATGGATTCTAGAAGCCTGGCATTTAACTTATTCCAACACTTTCACTGTTAATAAACTAGCCGCGTGGAATGTCTGCTCAAGAACCTTGGAGTCTCATTCACACGCGAAAGGTTCGATCAAACAGACAGTCATTTTTGTAGTGCTTTCGACATTAATTCCACTTGAATAGCATTGCCAATCATAGGCATCCGCAAACACGAACCGTAGTCGCATTCTACTTCTAAAATGCGGCTGTGAGAAACGACATCAGATCTGATTCACAGGCTGTGTAGAAACACATCGTGTAATATAAATTGGTGTCATTCGTCATTAACAGTTCATGGCTAAAGGATCGAAACCGAACATTTGCTTGTTGGAAAAAGTTTGAACCCCTGCAGACAACTTCTGTTCTTATTCAAGTAATTTTTAACATTACTGATGTGTAAATAAATCCTCTTCAGGTCTTCAAATGCAGATTTCGAACAACAAAATCCTTCTCGCACAAATCTCAAGGAATCTTTAAAAGCTGTTGAACTATATCACGAAGAAGCTACAGCAACGCAAAATTCAGTCGATGCTGAACGTAACACTCATCATCACACGTGAAGAAGTCGTCGTGTTACATTTGCCTGCGGGTCACATAAGTTTTGCTCTCCAACGCACGCAAGCAGGGTGCAATGCACGAAAAGATTCTTGCTGTAGTTAGTGAAGTAGAACGCAGAAAACGGCATCTCGTATACGGTGCCTTCCTGATTACGGTCCATCTTTGGCAGAATCGTTCTGACCACACTGTTCTTTTCGTTGAAGCAACTGAAAAACAAACAAACCAATGAACAGAGAGAGGAAGAAAACAACTAGCGCAAATTTAGTCAAAGATCTGAGCATTAATCTGGCATAAAATATTTGTCGTGAAACAAATAGACCCAATGCATTGCAGTTACATGCAACTGGAGTACTTTTTTAAAAATTGGTGCTGTTTGCTTTTGTTTTGCTTTTTGCTCACGATTGGTCGTGAGTTGAAACCGCGATCAGGGCACTCGCCGTTCTTTCTAAGGTTGATGAACGAGTATCACTCCGGTGGAAGGAACCAACAGACTACATGCAACGATTGCCACATGGCTATAGACTCTGCCTTTAAAAGAATAAGGCACTCCTTGTTGTTAGCATGGAAATGGTGATCAGCACCGCAACATTAACTTCATAATGAGAAGGGCTCCAAAATGGCCCAATCATGAAAGTGAAAGAAAACCGGTACTTCAGCGTTGACCAAGATTAGGTATACGATTCATAAACAATAGGGATTCTGGGATGTTCTATTCTGGTGCAAGTGAACAATGCAACGCCTGAAAGTCATAACCTTGAAAAATGTTTGAAAAAAAACAGTGATCAATGTATGGAAAATTTAAGCAAAAGAGATGGTAGATAGCAGAGCAGAGGTTCCACTGTTCAAACAGAAATTGTGGCTTGCCATTCTGGTTATAGATTTTTATCTTGTATTGGCTGGAACTTGCGAGGAAGACCGCTGCTCTTTTATACCTCACCGATTCATCTTTGAATCAACTGAAAAACGTAAACAGATGGACAAGTGGCTCATCTATGCACCTGTCAGTGCGCTCATTAAGGAAAAATGGAATCGTCCAAACAAGCGGCTAGCAAACGGTCAATTGTGGTCTGACTTTTCAATTATCCTGAGGAATGATTTGATGATTCGGCGGGCGTAGGAATTTGCTTTTGAAAATCACGACTTACTCACGTGCTTACTCGTAAGGCGTCAGAGAAATGCATGATTAAAAAGTAAATAAATTTTTAAAATAAATGAAAATTTAATATGCGTACCTTTTCCTGATAAAAGTTAACGTTTGACTGTTTGCAGAATTTTCGGAAGGAATTCCAGAGGATGAGAAATAACACGTTTCGGGCAAAATT